GCGTGAGACTTTGTCAGGCACTCGAATGGTCAGTTCACGGGCCATCTAAAATCACTGGACAGACATCATGCTAGCTAAATGTGTGATAGGGCGGGAAACTTCTCGATGAAAGTTCGCAAAGTTTTCTTTTAAGAGCGCTGACTTTGTGAGAAATACACATATTTTTATCAGGTGTTAACAGGCTCAAAATGACAACAGTAGCTAAAGATATTCTCATCACAAGAGACCAGAGGGTGAACTAAACATTTGTTCGTTTTAATTTCATTTCGACTTTCCGCTTGCCTTTAATGGCGATACATGAGAAAGTCTGGACATTTCTTGTGGAATATTAAAATATATATTATGACAAAACGTTTAAACCTTTTTCAATTGATTTATTTGAAATAAAGAAAGTATACCCTTGAAAATCGGATTTGACTAAAACATTACAAACGTTATCAAACTAAGACACCCGTATCAAATATATCACCATGAAATAACCATGTTCTTCTTTGTATATTGTTAGCCGCCATCAAACATGTGTGTCTATAATTAAGATGGAGATCTGAGTTTATTCATATGCTTTTATTTATTTATAAAGTTAGCACAGCAGTTAATACCACATTGTTATATAATTGAAATTAACGTTTCAGTTTTTGTTACCTTTCTACGCCGCTTCCTTCCCGGTTTTGAGTGTAAAATGCAAAGCAACTTTGTTTTTGGAACATTTTCTGAGAGAGATTATGAACTGGGATAATTATTTTGTACCGAACTGAAGTAGATGTGTTTGAATTTAAATTATAGATATACCCCTTACCTATATTTATGTACAATTTGCGCTTATTTGTTCATAATTAAACATGTGGTTGTATGGAAGACTGCGTGCCTGCAGGTGTCTCATTAACAAGCATCCTATGTGCAATAATTTATATCAGAGGTGTTTTTTTATCTTTCATGCATATTTTACAAGCATTTTGTATGCATTTATAGTTACTTTTTTCCCATTCATTTACTAAACATCGTATTTATATCTCTATCACTGGATGGTAACATGTAAGCAAAAAAAGATTATTGAACTGTATGTTGTCAAGATCGCCAGGTGAAAGAGCCTAGTGTTTAAAGCTTCGATTGTCTCTCAGAGGACCTGGGTTTATGTTCCCAGGGTACAAATTAAAGTGTAATCCTGTGTTTGAGGTACAATACGATATTGCTGGAATATTTGCTGACAGTGGCGTGATGTCATATTCACGCAATATGAAGACTATCTACCATTCATGCGTTCGAAAACCAATACTATTACAACTATTGTACGGTCGAGGATGAAATCAATGATAGAAAGACAACGGGGGTGTCTTAAAGGGAGGAATGACAGAAAGACAACGGGAGTGTCTCCAAGGGAGGAATGATAGAAAGACAATGGGAGTGTCTCCAAGGGAGGAATGATAGAAAGACAATGGGGGTGTCTTCAAGGGAGGAATGATAGAAAGACAACGGGGGTGTCTCCAAGGGAGGAATGATAGAAAGACAACGGGGGTGTCTCCAAGGGAGGAATGATAGAAAGACAACGGGGGTGTCTTCAAGGGAGGAATGACAGAAAGACAACGGGAGTGTCTCCAAGGGAGGAATGATAGAAAGACAATGGGAGTGTCTCCAAGGGAGGAATGATAGAAAGACAATGGGGGTGTCTTCAAGGGAGGAATGATAGAAAGACAACGGGGGTGTCTCCAAGGGAGGAATGATAGAAAGACAACGGGGGTGTCTCCAAGGGAGGAATGATAGAAAGACAACGGGGGTGTCTCCAAGGGAGGAATGATAGAAAGACAACGGGGGTGTCTCCAAGGGAGGAATGATAGAAAGACAACGGGGGTGTCTCAAAGGGAGGAATGATAGAAAGACAACGGGGGTGTCTCCAAGGGAGGAATGATAGAAAGACAACGGGGGTGTCTTCAAGGGAGGAATGATAGAAAGTCAATGGGGGTGTCTTCAAGGGAGGAATGACAGAAAGACAACGGGAGTGTCTCCAAGGGAGGAATGATAGAAAGACAACGGGAGTGTCTCCAAGGGAGGAATGATAGAAAGTCAATGGGGGTGTCTTCAAGGGAGGAATGATAGAAAGACAATGGGAGTGTCTCCAAGGGAGGAATGATAGAAAGACAATGGGGGTGTCTTCAAGGGAGGAATGATAGAAAGACAACGGGAGTGTCTCCAAGGGAGGAATGATAGAAAGTCAATGGGGGTGTCTTCAAGGGAGGAATGATAGAAAGACAACGGGGGTGTCTCCAAGGGAGGAACGATAGAAAGACAACGGGGGTGTCTCCAAGGGAGGAATGATAGAAAGACAACGGGGGTGTCTCAAAGGGAGGAATGATAGAAAGACAACGGGGGTGTCTCAAAGGGAGGAATGATAGAAAGACAACGGGGGTGTCTCCAAGGGAGGAATGATAGAAAGACAACGGGGGTGTCTCCAAGGGAGGAATGATAGAAAGACAACGGGGGTGTCTCAAAGGGAGGAATGATAGAAAGACAACGGGGGTGTCTCCAAGGGAGGAATGATAGAAAGACAACGGGGGTGTCTCAAAGGGAGGAATGATAGAAAGACAACGGGGGTGTCTCCAAGGGAGGAATGATAGAAAGACAACGGGGGTGTCTTCAAGGGAGGAATGATAGAAAGACAATGGGGGTGTCTTCAAGGGAGGAATGATAGAAAGACAATGGGAGTGTCTTCAAGGGAGGAATGATAGAAATACAATGGGAGTGTCTTCAAGGAAGGAAGAAATGATAGTTACACAACGGGTGTGTCTTCAAGGAAGGAATGATAGAAAGACAATGGGAGTGTCTTCAAGGGAGGAATGATAGAAAGACAATGGGAGTGTCTTCAAGGGAGGGATGATAGAAAGACAACGGGGGTGTCTTCAAGGGAGGAATGATAGAAAGACAATGGGAGTGCCTTCAAGGAAGGAGGGAATGATAGAAAGACAACGGGGGTGTCTTCAAGGGAGGAATGATGCACAACGGGTGTGTCTTCAAGGGAAGGAATGATAGAAAGACAATGGGAGTGTCTTCAAGGGAGGAATGATACACAACCGGTGTGTCTTCAAGGGAAGGAATGATAGAAAGACAATGGGAGAGTCTCCAATGAAGGAATGATACACAACGGGTGTGTCTTCAAGGAAGAAAGGAATGATAGAAAGACAATGGGAGTGTCTTCAAGGGAGGAATGATAGAAAGACAACAGGAGTGTTTTCAAGGAAGGAATGATAGAAAGACAACAGGAGTGTTTTCAAGGAAGGAATGATATAAGATAACGGGGGCGCCTTCAAGGAAGGAAGAAATGATCAAAAGACAACGGGAGTGTCTTCAAGGGGGAATCATGGGTGGGCGTCATGGGTCTAAGCACGATACACAAGTATAGTGAATGTAGTGTTACGCCGCTTTAAGCAATATTACAGCAGGGGGACACCAGAAATAGGCTTCACACATTGTACCCTTGCGGGGAGTCGAACCCAGGCACTGGGAGTGACCAGCGAACGCTTTAACCACTAGGCTACCCCATCGCCCTTACACAATGAAGTACAGGAAACGCTTCTTTAATTTTCAGACACGATAAATCTTTGCGTCTTTACATTTGCACATAATGGGTTTTTAAAAAATATATGTATAAGCTTATTTCATGTTTTCTTGTTCACTTCCGGCACTGGAAGCGGTGTTTTGTTTGTAAGCAGGTCTATCAGCCAAATAAGTGTGATGTCTAAGACACTTGACTGATTCATGTTTTAACCAACTCACTTTGTGTCATTATCAACTGAGCAAACAGTTTATCGTTGAGATGATTAAATGTTGAGAAGAATGAAATGCCCATACATTCATTATCGTGCGGTAAGACCACGTCAGTGAGTGAGTGAGTGAGTGAGTATGGTTTTACACCGCTTTAAGCAATATTCCAGCAATATCAAGGCGGGGACACCAGAAATTGGTTTCACACATTGTACCCATGTCGGGAATCGAACCCGGGTCTTCGGCGTGACGAGCGAACGCTTTAACCACTAGGCTACCCGACCGCCCCACGTCACGCGAGAGGAGAGTGAGAGAAGAGAGACATAGGGAAAATATGAGAGATAGATAGGGTAAATATATAAATATATGAGAGAGAGAGAGAGAGAGAGAGAGAGAGAGAGAGAGAGAGAGAGAGAGAGAGAGAGAGAGAGAGAGAGAGAGAGAGAGGTGGGGGGTGGGGTGATTAGTTAAATATAACATCATTCAACTTAGTGATGTATTTGTTCAACAGAAGTGTAATCAGTGCCGAGCCACAGTCACCCGAATACATTGCAGGTGTTTCGTCTGCAAACTAGTTCATTGGTGCATTTATCTTCACACAATAACAATATTTACATCCTAACAACAAGAATTAGTCAATGACTTACGTGTTGTGACTAGATAATGGGAACACTCTGTCCACACTGCACCTGAGCGTTGTTTATTTATTTTCACTTTTAAAGTAATATCCCAGAAACGTGCGTATACTATATATGGTTACACTATCATTAATTTATTCCTAGATGGTAAACGTGAGGATGTGTATTATTTTGTTTAAATATGACGTCATTAACACTTTTGTTAAACCTATTGTCACATGACCGATGTTTAATATTGCATCGACTGATTGAATGTCGCTGATTTTGATTTACAAAACGTTTTACCTTTGCTGAGCATTGTTCGATCCTGTAGCGGTTGCTTGGCAACTCACATAAAATGCTAAATGGCAAAGAGAATATTTGACTTTTCGGAGGGGAGCATTCCAACAATTAAAAAAACGAATTGGATGTGACGTGATAAAAAAGAATTGACGTTGGTATCCGAAGGTTCTTCCTCGTCGTTCAACGATGCTGGTCTTCAACAACCCATGCTTGCCGTAAAAGGCGACTATGCTTGTCGTAAGAGGCAACTAACGGGATCGCTTAAACAACACAAACGCTTATTAATACGTTGTTTGAGCAGTGGTAGTTATTATGGAAAAGAAATTATTAGAGGCATTACTTTTTTTATTCACAAAAGGAGAAAATGATCATAACTGTTATGCAGGTGCATTTCGTATCCATACACCATGCACTGCATATTTGTATTTGCTGCTCAGTGGTATTTAGAGGGTGTGTGTGAGCCCTTCCAGTAAATACTGATATTGTACTCGGATCTCAACCCTCTCTTCTTCTAGTCTCCCTGGGGGGCACGGGGGGCCCAGACGTCTCAGGCCATACCCGTGCTCGTGGGTTTCACCGAAGTGGTAAACGTCTAAAACCTGCATCACTTCGGGCTTTCCTCCCACATTAAGCTGACACGCCGTGATATAACTGGGATATTGTTAAAAGTGGAGTAAAACACACTCACACACTCTAGTCCGGCCGACAACTGTACTTAGTTCATGTCCATATCGAGGGTAGTTCGCTGAAGCCATATTGGGTCCATTTTGATCACATATCTTGCTACCCATAAGGCATCATTCCACGATTCCGGAAGCATACGCTTTTTACACCACACACACCTGACACATATCCACGCCACACAAACACTCTTCTCCACGCACGCACACGCAGCCCTTGCCTCACTGCGAAGCCCTCGAACGCTTAGTCTCGCATTCTCCCGACACGGACGAGCCTCTTGCGAGATCTCTGTACTCTTCTCTCGGACGCCGGCACAGCTGGGACGTCAATCTCCTCGTCAGAGAACATCGTGGCTGCGTCCCCCTTCCCCCAGGAACCGTACACATAGGTCTCAAGGTCAGGGTAGTCATTGTCCCTTTCTTCATCAGACTCTTCATCGTCATCATCATCATCATCATCATCATCATCATCATCATCATCATCATCTTCACCATCACCATCTTCGTCATCATCATCATCATCATCATCAGAGTATTCACTGTCTTCATCGCGAACATCATGATGATAGATATCGCCATTCTGGTTCTCTGCTCCATCAATGAGATTCTCCTGTCCGTGATTCTCCTGAACATCGCCCTTGTTCTGCAAGAGCCACCTGGTGATAGACTTGCCACACTTCCTCCAGGCCAGATAGGAGATGCCCCCAACAGCAGCAACACCGGCACACACCAACATCTTCTGTACCATGGCATCCTTCAGCTCTGGAAGAAGCGAATTTCAAGGTCATTCAACTTTGCACTCTTTGTATCTTTACAGGACCAGAGGAGTTGGTTGTTTACTTCTATTTTCTAGAATTTCATCTTCCCAAGGCAAGGGAGTTAACTGACTGTAAAAGTCCAGTTTCCACCCTTGCAGAACTAGGCCATAATTTCTGAGGTCGGTCGTAGTGCCACCAGTGGTTATTACGAGGTATGTCCCTTCTGTGCCCCTCCTATTGCCCAATCAGATTTCACCTCTCATGTCACTTACATTTGCTTCAAATACAATAGCGTGTTACTTCAGGAAGTGCATCAAATTACTTGATTAAAAACATGAAAGGATTTGGAAAAAGACGCTAAGTTGTTGGTACACATGCTTTGCAAATCATGCAATCGATCGAAGTCTGCACAGCAGTTTACGAACCGGATGTAGATTTCGTTACGCGATTTTGATTGGACAGTGCATGGACACGTTAGTTCAGCCAAACTATAACTCCATAACTCCATCCTAGTTCAGCAAGTCAGTTCACTCCCTTAACTCGGGAAGAGCAATATATACATACACCAATATTTTCTGTACCCGCAGCGCATCAGTCTGCGCTGGAGTGAGTGTGTGAGTATGGTTTTACGCCGCTTTTAGCAATATTCCAGCAATATCACGGCGGGGGACACCAGAAATGGGCTTCACACATTGTACCCATGTCGGGAATCGAACCTGGGTCTTCGGCGTGACGAGCGAACGCTTTAACCACTAGGCTACCCGACCGCCCCTTCTGCACTGGAAGTAGCGTATTTCTTTGTCCCTTAATAGGACCACAGTAGTTGTTTTTACAAGGTTAAATATATATATATAAGTCTGTTTGTATACGTATTGATGAAACATAATATATCACCTTCCTTTGCGTTTCTTGCCAATTCGACGAAAGCAGTAGAAATGTCCATTGTCGACCTGAAATATGAAACAGATAAGATTGTACACTGGTTCAACCAAGCAGGTTGGTGTTAGAAGTACAGTAAACTACGTTTATAACGAACACGCTTATAACGAACTGACGGATATAACGAACTTACTTTTTTGTCCCGACTATTTGCTGTCGTTATGCTGTTTATATGCTTATAACGAACTACGGTTATAACGAACTAAAATTAGCGGTCCCTTTGAGTTCGTTATAACAGTTTACTGTAGTTTACTGTATACATATTTTACTTGGTTTAGTTACTGTATGTTTTTTGGGGCGGTCGGGTAGCCTAGTGGTTAAAGCGTTTGCCCGTCACGCTGAATATCCGGGTTCGATCCCCGACATGGGTACAATGTGTGGCCCATTTCTGATGTCCCCCGCCTTGATATTGCTTGAATATTTCTAAAAGCGGCGTAAAATCAAACTCACTACTGTATATTTTTCACGCCGATTTTATCATTATAACGTCGGGAAACACAACAAATGTTCTTCACACATGTGGGCAAACGAACCCGGGTCTTGGGTGTGACGAACGAACGCTATAACCAGTAGGCTACCCAACCGCCCCTTTACTTGGTTTAACGATACCGGCGCTTTGACGTCATTATTTGCTTGCAAGTGTTCGAAATGTCTGGCTGTCCGGTCTCACGTGTCCAGTTATATTTTTAAAAGTGATTTTATATAATTCAGTTCAATCTGCCAACAGAGGGCGCAGGCATTCCCGGCGTAATGGAAATAGCCGAACGCGCGATTGAATTATATTAACCCGTCTGTTCTTATACGATCAGGGGCGGTCGGATAGCCTAGTGGTTAAAGCGTTCGCTCGTCACGCCGAAGGCCCGGGTTCGATTCCCGACATGGGTACAATGTGTGAAGCCCGTTGCTGGAATATTGCTAAAAGCGGCGTAAAACCAAACACACTCACTCACTCACTTATACGATCAATTAAAGAATAATCGTATATGTCGGACCACACAAGCCGAACTTCACAATCACAATCATAATCACTCTGCACTGATGTCTATGGTCTTTGAATTGATGTGGATGTGTCTGGAACCACAGCTGGAGGAAAATCAGTTCCATAGACATGTAATCCAACCATGCCAGGAAAAGAAACCATGCCCTAAACGTTTAACCCTTCCTGGCACTGGCAAATGTTTGTTTGTTTCTTATTTAACACTGCTCTCAGCAATATTCCAGCTATATGACGGCGGTCTATGAATAATCGAGTCTGGACCAGACAATCGTGTGGACATTTGACTATATGAACATCGATCCACGCAATTGGGATACGATGACATGCATCAACCCGACCCCGTTAGTGGTCTCTTACGGCAAGCATAGGTCACTAAAGATCAAGTCCAACCCGGATCTTCAATCACAGGTCTGCCTGGGGCCTGGGTAGCTCAGTCGTCTAAGGCGCCGCGATTCGCTGTGCAGAGTTGCGTCCCTTGGCCACGCCAGAAACCTCACTGTTGTGGGTTCGAATGCCTGTTCGCCCAGATTATGTTTCTAGGCCTAGGTTTGTCAGCACCATACCCGTGCTCGTGGGTTTCACCGAAGCGGTAAATGTCTGAAAACTGCATCACTTCGGGCTTTCCTCCCACATTAAGCTGACATGCCGCGATATGACTGGAATACTGTTAAAAGCGGCGTTAAACCCAACTCACTCACTCACAGGTCTGCCACGGGTAAATTTATTCAATGTCTCTCTTCATTAGCTGTGATCTATCTATTCTGTGGGATAGTTCGTTTAGAGAGCTTACTAATTACGTATATGATTTGTTGCGTGAACTGAATGTGTTTATTCTAAGGGCAAAGTCTTCATCATTAATATCCGAATATCAACTCATGTTCGTAAACATGCTCGTGACGGGTTGAGCAGTTGACGTTGTCTCATGTGCATGTTGGTTGGTTTGTTGCTTAACGCTGCACTCAGCAGTATTCCAGCTATATGAGTGAGTGAGTTTGGTTTTACGCCGCTTTTAGCAATATTCCAGCAATATCACGGCAGAAATGGGCTTCACACATTGTACCAATGTCGGGATCGAACCCGGGTCTTCGGTGTGACGAGCGAACGCTTTAACCACTAGGCTGCCCGACAGCCCCCCAGCTATATGACCGCGGTCTGTAAATAATCGAGTCTGGACCAGACAATCCAGTGATTAATATCACGAGCATCGATCCACGCTGTTGGGATCGATGACATGCATCAACCAAGTCAGCGAGCCTCACCACCCAATCCCGTTAGTCGCCTCCTACGACAAGCATAGTCCCCCTTTACGGCAAGCATGGGTTGCTGAAGACCAATTCCACCCCGGACCTTCACGGGTCGATGTGAATGTAGGAGAATTCTAGATACTCTGATAATATATGCAAATAGATAGCATTAACAAAATCAAGCAATCACTAAACCATACCTTGAACCTACGGACAAACGCACTGTGTGGCTATCAACGTCCATGATGGTCTTGATGTCTCCTGAACGGCACAACTTCAGAAAGGTCGTGGATCCGGTCGCGGCTGCGGTGGCGAGACGAGGAAGCCAACCCATCTTTGTCGCTTTATCGAAGAGGAATGACTCTCCGGAGTGATTGTTATTACTTCACTATCACGTGACGTGACTGTGATGTCACCGTGATTATGACGTCATCTACATTCAATTTGTGACATTCAGAGAACATTCGTCACCACTCGCCCCTTTCCGTAACCTATTCGGCTTGTTCCGGAATAACACGAGAACACACTCCGGCGCAGTGGTGACTTCACAAAACAACATCGCCACAGGCAAATTTGCATTTCACGTGACCGGAATTTTGAATAGAACAGACTTGCCTAATGCAATCCTTTCGGTACATACTGTGTTGTATAATCATATGGATATGCTACTACATCTGCGACAAGGAGCTGCATGACAATTTATTTATGTAAGGGATTTTTTTCCTGGAGGAGAACCACAGTCTCACACGCCAAATTCCATGTTGAAATATGTTTTACTTCATAAGGTGGTGAGGTAAGGTGAAATTGGGTTTAACGTCGCGTCCAAGATTATTGCATTTATATAGCGACGTGCATGTACGTGTGTGTGTGTGTGGCTGCTTGTACTTGTCCGGACTGATGCCGATTTATATTGCTAGCACACTGAGATACCATGCCGCAGTTTAACATGAATACCCCACTCAGACACAGTATACTGACTCCGAGCCGACCAGTCCTTGTTTTAGCCCATTAATGCCGAGCGCCAGACAGGGTAACAACAAGTACTATCTTTTAACGTCTTTTGGTATGACGCGGCCGGGGATCGAACCCACACTTCAGGTCGGCAGGTGACAAAATAATAAAAATTAAAATTCCAGTTTCAGAAATATGTTGTTGTTTTTCTCCAAAATATATTAACTAGGTAGAAGAAATAAGTAAAAAGGTTTGGGGTTTTAATTCTAGTATGTTAAATAATTTATTCATTTTGATAGCCACGGTAAAGAAGCTTTTAAAAAGATATTTATTAACTGCTTTTCATTTTGCTTTTTTTTACATTTTAATTTTCGTAAGTCGGTGGATTGGCAAAACAAGTTTTAAAAAGTCTGGATCTATACCAAACTGGCACCATTACAGAAGTCGACGTCCATATTTGTATGGTTTTTGTGTCATCCGTCAGCTTCTAAGAAATGCATATCAAACAATTCGAGATTGTGATGTAGTCGGACTACAGAGAAAGCTCAGTGCCCACAATGCACCTGCGAGATGCAAATATTCTTTTCATTCTTAACGGGAAACGGGTTGTGGTATTTTTTAGAAGAAATATTCCACAATCGTGTATCATTTATCAGATGTTTATGGCTCTAATGTGTCCGTAAGTCGAAATGTGATACCCATTCTTTACAAATGTATGGGCCTTTACTGTCTGCGGTTGAAGTCTGGGTATAAGTAACAATATGAAGATCGGGGGTAAAACAGGTCTTCAGCAACACATGCTTGCCATAAAAGGTGACTATGCTTGTCGTAAGAGGCGACTAACGGGATCGGGTGGTCAAGCTCGCTGACTTGGTTGATGCATGTCATCGATCCCAATTGCATGGATCGATGCTCATGACATCAATCACTGGACTGTCTGGTGCAGACTCGATTATTTACACAGACTGCCGTCACATAGCTGGAATATTGCCGAGTGCGGCGTTAAACAAAAAACACAAACAAAAAACAAAAGTTACAAAAACTTAACTCAGGGCGAGCAAACATCCACATTTTATTACTCTGAATGTGACATTTTGTGTCAAGGCCGACGTAACTGAAGCGGACATAAAATATTTCTTAGGAATTATTAATCTTCAGTGATGTAATGCCTTTGTTCTTGACAAGGTTAACTCTCATAAATACGTCCTCGTGAAACATGTCTGTGATTTCGTATAACATTTTGTGAATCATATCAACTCATTATCGTGTAGGATAAAGCACATCCGAGTATTTTTATGATACTTAAATCCGCATCCGGGATAAAAGTTTTAAATATCATTGAAATCCGGGAGGAAGTGTTTTATCTAACTTATAAACCGAAAAAAGAAAGTTAAAACAACATTTACCAACATTTTTATCTTTAAAACATACTTTCCACGAACATTAAGACACCGGCGTAGATATCTGTTCCTGGCGTACGGTTCTTGAAAAAGAAATTCCAAAGATCATTGTGATTTATCAGCGTCTCTGTCGCCTGGTGGTACAACTCAATGGGCTACGACACGAAGGCTGCCATTCGTCAGCACTCGCCCCTTTCCGTAACCTGCAAGAAGCTTGTCCCGGAATAACACGAGTTGGTCACGAATGGAAGGCTGCGTGTTCGACACCCCATGACACTTCCCCGATGATTCAAAACCTTCACTATTGGGGCCTTGCCATTCGTGCGAGGGAGTTTTGAAATCGCGCTTTGAAAGTTTTAGCAAAATATTAAAAGCAGTGTGCAATAAACTGTTTTTGAATGTGTTTATTTAATAAACTTGTATAAAATGGTTATTTGAGACCATACGGATAATAGACACGTAATGTGTCAGTGGCTTGACAATCAGGTTCCCTATTCGTATTACAGGTGGAAAATATTTACATTTAATTGTAATTGGCGCCTGAATGTTGTTAGAAATAGATATTTTCATTATGAATGTTAACTTGTAAAGTGTATGTGTAATACTTTGGTCCCTGCATTTGTAAAAAAGAGAGGTATATCAGTCAATAAATAGACGCAGATCTACACTGGCTCTCACACATTAATTATATTCTATGTGAAATGTAAGGTTGTTTGTTTGTTTGTTGTTTAACGCCGCACTCAGCAATATTCCAAGTATATGACGGCGGTCTGTAAATAATCGAGTCTGGACCAGACAATCCAGTGATTAATATCATGGGCATCGATCAACGCAATTGGGATCGATGACATGCATCAACAAAGTCAGTAAGCCTGACCACCCGATCCCTTTAGTCGCCTCTTACGAAAAGCATAGTCTGAAATGTAAGGACGATATCTTTTTCTTTAATATGACATGATAAATTGTCTTTAAGATTGACTGATTTAGGTCGTGTACTTTTTGGGTATTTGAGTAAAACAATTTTCTTCTTATAATAGTGGTGTCAATATATGTTTTATTTTTATCTGTCTGGTTTGTATTATAATAGTCTACTTACATGTTTTTAATGAATGAGTATGTTTTTTACGCCGCTTTTAGCAATATTCCAGCAATATCACCGCGGGATGATTTGGCTGGTTTGGAGTGTCATCGTCCGCATGTCAATCACCCATCACGCACCTGCTTTATCGGGACGGATTGTTGTCATAGGTATACTCCATAGGTCAAAGTTAACTGCTCTCTGATTGGCTAACAACTAGGAAGTATATCAAGCTGGTTTCATTGTGAGGTCACCGCGAAACAAACTGACGGATAGCCTAGTGCAGGTCTGTATCAGGGTGCATCGCGACATGGAGCAGCGTTCAGACGCCGATGTGGACTGGAAACAGAAATATAAACAGTCGGAGGAGACGCTGAAGTTGCTGACGTCGTACTGTCACAGAGGTGAGCACGTTAACGGTTGTCACTGTCACTGGGCCAGGTTCAAGCTACCTGTGAGGCGTGTATATACGTCACGGTTGAGTGACAGTAGGTTTCGAGATACATCTGTTTGAAATCAGAGACAATATGCGTGGTATATGGTCTTTAGTGTACACTACATGTATGTGTACGCATACAGTGTTAGGTGACGACGCTTACCGGTATGTTGATAACATGTTATCGGACAGCCCATTCTGGTGTGCGTACCCGCCACCTCGTTATAACGAGAACAACGGGAAGTATTCAGGATGAATTGTCATCGGGGGCTTTATGACGTGGTTGGTTGATGTATATATATGCGAAGAGGAAGCACTTGTGAAACCTGTGGGTGTTCGTTGCTCTATCGCATGTAGCTTATCTTACGCTACGGAAACCCATGTAAAGAGATATTGATGGGGTTTTCCAGAGGCCGAGTACATTTTGCCTTTTTGGGACCTAAAGGGATGGTTGGGTAGCTCACTTGTTAAGGCCATTGGTTGTCATTCCGAAGACCCAGGTTCGATTCCCTATGTTGATAGAAAGTGTGAATTTATTTCTGGTGTCTCTCCGTGATATTGCAGCAATAATGCTAAAAGCAGCATCAAACCTCACTCACTCACTCACTCACTCACTCACTCTCTCTTTATTTTTCATGACCTCTAGAAGAGCAACAAAAAATGCTTGCCAAAGAAGATTGTTGTCATGTAACTCCCTCAAATATCATTATTGTAACCATAAAATAAATTAAAAAATTATTCCAATTTTTTATTTATTCATTTTATTTTATTGTTAATAGGGAGGAGCTGGTAAAAACATTTTTATCAACAACAAAATAATTTAAAAAGGTCTAATGTCTACCAGTTGGTATTTGCATGTTTTATTAATTATCTCCTGGATGTATTAAACAATGTATTTTCCATGAATATACATATTTAGTTATTTTTGTTTTCAGTTAAGCTTGTAGAGATGCTTTTGTCTAGAGAGGTAATTCTGTAGCTAGATATGGCCATTTGAGCCTAAAACAAACAAAATCGACACAAAATGATGTTATTTATTTCAAAAACAAAATAGCAGATATTCTGACAAATGCACCATTCAGTTCTAATTTGGGTCTTTTTATTGTCTTCCTTGACAGATATTTAGTTAGTTTGGGGAATTTTTTTTACGATGCTTGTCTAAACATTATGACATCATATCAAATCAGAGTACGTAGTTATATCACTGCAGGTATTTATTGCATTGTAATTCATATTGACAGTCAGAAAAGCTCTCAAACGTATGCCGATGTCTTCGGGCTTGTTATGAGGCCAGACATGCTTTTTCTTTGGTTCACACATTTTGAAAGTGTAAAAATAAGTTGTTAGGTAAAGAAAAATTAAAAAGTTAAAATGTATTGTATATAGAATTTTTGTTAACAATCTTAAATTTCGAGTTAGATCAGTAAGGTGTTGAAAAAATAAATGAAAATTTATCGTTTTAGTCACATAAAAAATACCTCAGATAATTTTTTTTGTCACAGGGATCTTTATCATCAGCTGTATAGAAAGATTTTGTCATTCTGAGTTTATATTTTTCTGAATTTTTTTATTTTTAAGGTCGGTGTGTCCGTAAACCAAGCAAAATGAATGTAAGACCTGAAAAGCCATGTGTACAGGTTTATAAGAAGGGTGTGCACTGGGGGAAGTTTTAATGTCATGCATAAAATTAAGACAGTCATTTTATATAGAGAAAAATAATTTTATCGTATACCCCTGTATACCCTTTAAAAGATAAGTGCATCCTCTTCCAATTGTCAACGGGGGATAGGGAAGCCGAAGGCCCTAGTTTGATTTTTTGCGGTAAATGTAGGAAGCCCATTTCTTGTGTCCCCTGCCGTGATGTAGCTTGAATATCGCTAAAAGCAGCATAAAACCATAGACAATCAATCCAGTGGTCATGCGTATGGAAGTGAAACAATGTAAGTTTCAAATTAAGTTTGACAAGTTTATGATTAGGCAACTTTAAACAGAAATGAAAACAAGGACCATATTTCTGTTTTTGAGCTCATTTTTCAACAGGGAAAATGAAAACTAAAGTGTCCGGCTTTGATTATTATTAATTTTGTTTCAATTAACACCAGCTACATTCCTTTGGTAGATTCTTAAAATAATTTTTTTTTTAAAGCTCTCTTTGTATGACCTGAAATCAACTCAACAACATTTTGTAATGTTTGTATTTCTCCTGCATCCTCTCGTGTTTCCAAAGCAACTCTGAAATAACAGATTTTTAGATGACATGTGATTCACCAACTGGTGAAATATGCATGTTATTTATTAATTATAATTTCTTATTCTGGTTAAATATGAATGTTATATTAGTGGTTGGTTGGTTGGTTTGCTTGTTGATTAACGCCACACTCAGCAATCATGGCAATATTCCAGCTACATATATGACAGCAGTCTGTAAATGATCGAGTCTGGACCAGACAATCCAGTGATTAATATCATCAGCATCGATCCACACAATTGGGATCGATGACATGCATCAACCAAGTCAGCGAACCTGACCACCCAATCCCTTTAGTCACCTCTTACGACAATATTGCTGAGAGCGGCGTTAAACAACAAACAAACAAATAAAACAAAACGAATATAAAGTTATGTTATTTTCTAATATGTTCCCACTTTGTCAATGTTTGTTTGACTGACTCTGTGGTCTAGTAGAGCGGAAGTTAAGATTTCCAACCGCGGCATACCGAAAGATATTGTTTTTGGTTTGGTTTGTTGTTTTACGCCGTATTCAGCAATAATCCAGCTATATGACTGTGGTCTGTAAACAATCGAGTATGGACCAGACAATCCAGTGATTTACATCATGGACATCGATCCACGCAATTGGGATCGATGACATGCATCAACCAAGTCAGCGAGCCTGACCGCCTGATCCCGTTAGTCGCTTCTTATGACAAGTACAGTTGCCTTTAACGGCAAGCATGGGTTGCATAAGACCTATTCTACCCAGGTGGGGGTGGTGGAGATACAGGACAGGACATTATTCTGTCAGTGCAATGTGACGGTGCACATTGACATAAGACATACAAGTCTGAGAGACAATGTATGTTGTTATAGTGCTTTTGGGGATTCAGCTGGTGCAATCCATAAACAGAAATTTGACCAAAAATGTCATCTAAGTTATCATTTCCTGTTTGGTGTAAATATACAAATAAAATCATTATCTTATCAACAGGTGGTTACAAAATATACCAAACAGGACCCGTTCCACAAAGCGATCTTAGCGCTACGACTGTCGTAAGCCTATGTTAAAGTATGGGAGTTACGAACATCTTTGCACTAAATTGCTTTGTGGAACAGAGCCGTGGAAGGTTGTTACCATATTCGACGTCATAAGCGCCCTGCACTAATAAGCACCCATGGCATTAATCCCAATTAGCACCCCTTCCAATTGATCAATATACACAAGACTTATTTTTTTGCGTATAATACGCACTCGTGTGTTATATGTACCCTTCATTATGGGCAATTAAATTCTTGAAAATATATCTGTCGTGTATACATGGTATAATACACACAGACTTTTCTGTTGTATCATTTCAGGCTGTTAGCATAAACCACAAAATTAACTATCTTTCAACTGATTTTTTTTCACCAAAATTTCACCAAGAGCCCCTCATTTCTAATTTTGAGAGCACCCTGGGCGCTTATTGCGTCGAATACGGTAAGTGTATTTATGTAACTGATATGCAGTCAGCTGAGTCGGAGTCAGGCTCTTCTCAGACATTGTGGTTTTTTTAGGAGATAAACATGCTGTGTAACCCTGCTCTACATTGAAAACACAGTCGGTGTTGTCTCCATTCTACCATGACAAAATTAACAGCAAACTCTTTGGTGTTAACCAAGATACTGTAAATCTGGAAATTAAAGTGTCGCGAAATTAATACGACTGCTGACCCTAGCCAAAAATGTGACTCAATATCAATGCGACTCCCCCAACCCAATCCCCAGTGGAATGATACACACACTTATCTTATCAAACCTTACCTTTATCCAATCAAACAACAATTAGCACAGCTTATTAGCACTGAGTAGAGCACTTTCCTAAAAAACAACAGACTGTTTATTATATGTTTATCATATTTTCTTGAGTATAGTGTGCACTTTTTTTCCAAAAAACACAGCTGTGTAGAAGGGGGTGCGCATTATACACACCACAATGAGTTTTGATCTTTTTTTCCCCCAAAGCTAAGACACTACCTTGAGCATGTAACACCAGAAATACCATTGTCTGGTTATAAAAAAAGTGTTCATTGTATATCTGGACTTATGTTTGTAACTTATTTCATTGAATGCATTCAAAATTCCCTTTAATATTGTTTTAATTAATTTCGGCAAAATTGTGTGTGAAGCAATCAGAAGATTGCACAACTCACCGTTATTAACAGCAACCACACAAGCCGTACAAGGTTTAGTTCTACAGCGCATGACCCTATTGTGACATCACACTGCCCCTTGTGATGCAGAAAATGTGACATCACAGTTGGCTGTAGAAAAGCTCCAAATTTCAAGGTCGCTGTGGTCCCTTAAACTTGAAATAAATTCTCTTCAGTTGTTTTCTATCCAAAATGTATTGCCATGCATACATTGAATATTGTAGTATCTGCAAACCTCCATTTTGTAACAAATAACTGTAATATTATTATTTATAAATGCCTCCAGACAATGACTGACAAAGAAGTACTTTTAATAATGTCAGCTTCCACGATGATGTGGCTGTCAATTAGACTGTTTCAATCAGAGGTGGTAATTATGATTTGATACCTCTGTTTGACCAATCAAAATCGTTTTTCAAATTCATGGTAGAATGCTTTATAAATAAAGAAATAAAAGGTCCTTGTCTTGCTTGCTTTTGTCTTCAACTAAGTGTATTGTGTCTTGGGTTTGATTCTGCAAAAGGATACATGTTTCATGTATTAAATTGTATTTAACTTA